ACCTCGCCTTTGACAAAGGGGCTCTGCACCTATTCAGATCAACCTCGTCTCTGGAAAAAGGGAATATGAACCATAAACAATGTCAACCTCGCCTTTGACAAAGGGGCTCTGCACTTATTCAGGTCAATCTCATCTTTGGAAAAAAGGGCTCTGAACCATAAACGAGGTCAAGCTCTCCTTTGATAAAGGGGCTCTTCACCTACTTAGGTCAACCTCGTCTTTGGAAAAAGGGGCTCTGAACCATAAATAAGGTCAACCTCTCCTTTGACAAATGGGATCAGGACATATTCAGGTTAACCTTGGCTTTTGTAAAAGGGGATCTGAATCATAAATGAGGTCAACCTCGCCTTTGATAAATGGGAAATGCATCTATTCAGGTCAACCTCGTCTCTAGAAAAAAGGGGCTCTGAACCATAAATGAGGTCAACCTCGCCTTTGACAAATGGGATATGCACCTATTTAGGTCAACCTCGTCTCTTGCAAAAGGGGCTCTAAACCATAAACGAGGTCAACCTCGCCTTTGATAAATGGGTAATGCATCTATTCAGGTCAACCTCAACTCTGGAAAAAGGGGCTCTGGACCATAAACGAGGTCAACCTCGCCTTTGACAAATAGGTTCTACACCTATTCAGGTTAACGTCATCTTTGGAAAAAGGGACTATGTTCGTCTATATAACCCTACCATAAGAGCCAGGGGCTTATCAAGTGACTAAAAACTTGATAAGGCATACACCTGAAAATGTTCGTGATCAGTAACTAAGATCGTAATTAAAGATAACAAAAATTCCACAGGAAAAAAGGGCATAATTGCATTCCAGAAGCCTTCAAATGTGTACGGGTTGACACCCTTAGTCTTTAAACACGAATAGCTACCAGCCCATAGTGGCTTAAGGTTCAGCTCGGAACATACTAACAAACCACTTGAGAGATAAGGAAATTGATAAAACGAATACTCTTCTGGGGCTCTTAAAATCCAGAAGCACTAAAGGTTCCAGGTATTGAAAAATCAGAGCAATCCAATCACCTCATGATCAGTCACTTAAAGCCCTATGGACTTCGTACCCGAGGGGATATAATACATGGATTATATCATCAAATTGCTATGATTAAAAGCAGAAAAATATATTAAAATAGATTAACGAAATCATGCAATATCAACGTAAAGCTACAAAGGGCAAAGGAGTTGTTCAAAACATAGTTCCCGAAGGCAAATAGTTATTACATGAAGGGGGGACGAGACCACACTCCCCAAAAAACAAAACAAAAATTACATAAGTGCATCCTTATCGGATGACTAAAAGAACTAAATGGAACTAAGTATCCAACTTCTCTTGATGATCGTCATTGTTATTGTTCTCCATACCAGAAGGATTATCATGGTCTGGTGGAGGAGTTTGAGGCTTCTCCCTGTCCTCAAGGTCAACAAGACGACCATCCTTCACCACCTTGAAATAGTCCATCTCAGACAAGTTCAGACCCGAGTAAAGGAATAATGCCTGATCTTTAGCTCGATCAAAGGCATGGTCAACAGGGGAGAGGATATCCATCAGGGACTTCTTGAGAGCCTCTTTGAGCTCATCATTTGTAGTCTTTGCAGACTTGAGCTTGTTAGTGAGCTAAGTAAGGGATTTCCTACTCTTCTCCTCTAAAGTCTCCCTTCGATTCTTCTCTTCTGAAAGGCTCTTCTCCAAAGCAGTTATCTTGTCAGATTTAACCTTCTGGTCACTCTTCTAGCCGATAATCTCCTTCTGAAGCTTCAACTTATTTTGTTCATAGTCATCGCTAGATTCAAACAAACCCTTTGACAAAATGGCACACCTCATGAGGTCGGAGCTGATGTTCTGAAACATTTTCTGGCGTCCTATGGACTTCACCTTCTAAACATACTCATCCATTTTGAGGTGATCATAGAAGAACTCGACCTCGTCAAAGCTGTTTGACCAAAACTTAAACTCCCCAGCTGGGTTAGAAACACCCTCCCTAGAGTCTTTCATTAACGAGGTGATTTCTATATCAACTCGGCAAACACCACTACTCATCAAAGTCTTCAGTTTCTTAGGAGTGCCCTGAGGAACCTCTTCAAGAATTGAGGGAATTGAAGGTTGGAGCTCGATTGAGCCTGAGGCCACCTTGGAACCTGTCATCTTCTTCCTTTTTAAAAGTCAAGTTTCGAGGCCGGCAAGGTCAGGTTTGGATGGGGTGGCTCCTCCGACGCCCTTCCTTGTAGCACAAGTTTCCAGCATTAACTTTTTTTGTTCGGTGATACTGGGATCGGTCATCCTCTTTGCAAAAAAAAGACGAGAAATAATTAGGCACTTAACAATATGAAGCTTATGGTATGTCCATTAAAGGAATAAATTCAAGATATTTACCAAGGAAAGCTGGAATTTATTTATCACTCAGAGGCATCAACTCCTCCACCCTCATCATTCGAAAGGAGTCAAGGACTTCCAAGTTTGGATTTCTAGCTCACTTAATTTCTCAAAAGAGAAACCGAAAATCGAAAAGGGGTCCCGGGTCCAATAGTGAGGGAAGCGGGGTGACCGGGGCCAGCAACACTTGTGGGCACCGCGGCCCACACTTAACCCGAACGAAGCGGTATTTAAACCCTTTGTAGTTGCTGGTATAAATTTGGAGAAAACTCTTCTAAGAGATTCCCATAATTTGAACCCAAATGTGCTTCTCAACTCCCTTCACCTTGAAGAATGAAAATAACAAGCCCACAATATGGATAATGCTCAAAGCCTCACAAACTCTTTCAAATGCCCTTATGAAGCCCCAACTGTTAGGTCAGAGTTGAGAAGGCACTACATTCATAACATTCAGAATCTGAGAAAGGGATGCAAACTTGAAAATCTTCCAACACTCCCGAATAGAAATAAAAGAACTCCTCCTTGGAACTTTCAGGGTGGAGAATGCACACTCATTCTCTAAGATTGCAAGCCTCCAAGATAACGTCGTCCTCGTTCCCGGTGGAGGAGATGTTCTTCAGAGAGCGGAGTTTTCCTATCTCCATTGCATCAAAAAGACTATTCTTGTAGCCCATTACTTCTAGATCAAAGGGAGCAGAGGTTTCCATCACCATCTCCACAGAAGCTGAGGATAAAGAAGAGCAATCATAATCACTTTCAAAAGTAAGGATTTCGTTATAAACCGTGTTCATGACTCGAGTATACTCTTCTACGCTTAAGGAAGTTTGTATCTCTCGCATGCACTCATCCCACAAAGCTTTTCTTTCCTCATCATTTTTGGATTTTATAATGTTGTCAACGCTATCACACTCTCTTACGGTAACCATTCTTATGAAAATAACATGAAATGGGAATAAAGTAAAAAGGAATGAAGAAGAGGAGAATACCTGGTAAAAGTGTGCTTTGCGTTTGAGAAAGATTTGCTGATGAAGAAAGCGTTACGAAAATTGCCAACGGTAAGAATTGATGGAAGAGTGGAGGAAAAGTAGGGCTTAAATAAAATCTCTAGTAAATGATGGTAGTAGTAGGGGAACAATTGCCTATAATCAAGTCCCCATAAAAAGTCATTATTATATTATGAATAAATCACTCAAAAGATTTGCCTATCAGTTGTCTGCCATGTACGCGAAAAAGTTCAAAATTAGAAATATTTTGGCTCATTTATGACCGAACACCACATCCCGGGTGTCGACATGTATGTCCGGAGAGCTTATGTACATCCTGAAATACGTATGTCGGGTCGAGACCTATAGTCGGCTTAAGAAGGATTACGAGAAGGCAAGAAAACGTGGATATGTGTACCTTCGGTTAGTGTCCTCGGGACCAGAGGGCTACGTCTGGTAATGCTCTCTAGAACGCAACCCAACAGGATACTAAGAATCATCGTGAGGACCCGGCCGTAACTCCAGAAACGGTCACCAACTACTAATCACTAGTCGTTACTCTGAATTAAGTGCATCAATGATGGCTGGCGACAGACGTTTCAGGGCAATGATAACGGAAGGAGCTCCGAGGGACACCTTAAAGGAAGCTCTTGGAGGTGTTATGGAAGTTATATATAGGGACTCTCGCAAGAGGGATAAGCAAAATATATATCTGGAGACAATATGTACTGCAAATGTAGCTCTCAAAATCTCAATCATACTTACAGAAATCTACCTTTGAAACTCTATTTATTCTTATAGAGAAACTAACCGTTTAATGTTTCTATCCTATATATATATATATATATATATATATATATATATATATATTTGTTCAACTGACACTTGTTATGCCCACCTTTCTATTTCTTCCTTATCTCACACACAAGATGCATGTTGCCAAGACAAAATAATATTAGTGATATCCAACGAATCAAGATACGGATGTCCAAGTAAGTGGTACTTGTATGTGTTATTATTACTGCCTTATTCAAAAGCAAAAGCAACATCACTTTTTAATAAAGGACAAGCCATAATTCTTGTGTTCCGCGGTTACTAATTCACTCACTGTGTGCGCTGCTTCATCCAAACATGTTGTAATCAAATATTCGATATAAACAAAAAAAGCAAATAAAAAGCCCTTTCAACTACTACTTTCCCCATAAAAGTACGTATAGTTGTGTAATAAAAATAGTATTATTAGATTGCCTGAAAAAAAGTAGTATTATTAGATTAGATTGCATATGAAATATTTAGTGTAAACATTTTGTGAATTTGATTAGGAGCCACTACTTCCTCAAACATAGTGCAACCTAACCACTTGCATGAAGATTGTAATTAAACAAATATTTAATATGGCAAAAAAGATTTGTTAAGGATCCGATTATATTATATATTTTAATATGATAAAGAGCATTCATATAGTAACTGCTTTAGTTTAACCAACTTGGTAACTAAAGTATAGTGATACTTTAATTAAAGCAAGATACCATATCCTACTATATTATTTAACTTCTCTCTATATAGTCCCTTATCCAAGATAACATACACAACAACAACCCTCAAGCTTAAGTAATTAACTCATTAAGTTTCCTAACAAAAAACATGTATGCTTCTACTTTCTTTACTTCACCACTCCTCCATGAGCTTCTTGTGGAATCTCACACAAGAAGGTTACTCTTCCAAGGCGCAATTGGTCAACAACCACTAGCCAACTCTCCTGTTCTAACACACAACCATAATTCAACCGACTCGTATTTCGGAATACGTGAATTTGATGCAAATGTTGTGATGATACTTGCAGTCCTATTATGTGCTCTTATTTGTTCACTTGCGTTAAACTGCATCATAAGGTGTGCTTTAAGGTTTTTAAACGCAGCCATCAGCAATAACGGCTCTTCTTCGAGTTCGAACAGCAACCCTTCACCTCAATTGGCCAACAAAGGAATCAAGAAGAAGACTCTCAAAACATTCCCAACAGTGAGTTATTCGACCGAGTTGAAACTACCAGGTTTGGATACTGAGTGTGTGATATGTATCTCAGAATTCACAAAGGGTGAAAAGGTGCGCATATTACCTAAATGCAACCATGGTTTTCATGTTGGTTGCATTAACAAATGGCTAAAGGAACACTCATCATGTCCCAAGTGTAGACAGTGCCTTCTTGAAACTTGTCCAAAGATTGGTGGGTCGCAAGTGCAACCAATTGTGTTGCCAATACAAGAAATTATTATACAGATCCAACCACTAAATCATGAAGCTGTTGAACGTAACTATAGGGAAGAAAGAAGATAAATGTTCATTATAATTTGAAGGTTTTAATTTCTTTAGGTTCACCCCAAATGTAAATATAAATTTGTTAAAATTTACAGTACAATTTTTTTCCACCAACATTCTGCGGTAAATAATAATTTTAATCGATAATATAAATGATATTGAACCGAGTGAGCCCC